TCCGGCTTCCAGTACAAGTTCTCCCTGGACACGGTCATCCAGCCCGACGACAGGCAAGCACGAGTGGGCAGCATCCCCATGGGCCAGCATGGAGGCAATGCGGGGCCCGTGCTGCCGGTTAACATGTGCCACGCTGCCAGTTAATGTGTGCCGGTTAACGTGTGCTGTGCTGCTGGTTAATGTGTGCCAGTTAACATGTGCCGCGATGCCAGTTAATGTGTGACGGTTAACATGTACCATGCGCCGGTTAATGTGTGCTGGTTATCGTATGCCACACTGCCGGTTAACATGTGCCCCGTCTCTCCTCTGCAGGGTGTTTGAGCAAGGTGGCGCCCGCGTGGTGGTGGACGTGGACAGCCTGGCCTTTGTGAAGGGCTCCATGGTGGACTTCAGCCAGGAGCTGATCCGCAGCTCCTTCCAGGTGGTGAGCAACCCACAGGCTGAGAAGGGCTGCTCCTGTGGGACTTCCTTCTCTGTCAAATTCTGACTGGACCTCTGTGAACGGATGCCGCCTGCGGATCCTGCCTGCAGCCCTTGGAAGGGTTTCGCCACTCCTCTTCACAGTGGTTCCAGCTCATCCCCCTCACCCTGTAATGCAGGCTGCCACAGGTGGCTCCAGCGCTGTGTGTCTGCCCTGCTCTTATCCCAGAGAGCTGCTGGCCTCCCCGTCAGGACCGTGAAGCGGCTGTGAGCATGCGCTGCTGTGCCCGGGGAGCCACCTGCCAGCGGTGCGGGCTCCCCTGCCCCGTGCTCAGCGCAGAGCCCCCCGTCTGCGCAAGAGCTGGCTCTGTGTGTGTGTGATACTGAGAGCTCGTACTGAGAAATGAAAGCCCTCAAACATGCTTGGTATTGTTCGTGCATTTCTACACAGGGTTAGAATTTGTTTTCTTTGGGATACTGTCACTTAGCCCTTGATGGGGTGGGTTGGTTGTTTTTATTTTATTTTTTTTTCCCCAAATGGTACTCTGAGTCTTTCTCCCTTAGACCTCCCAGTGTTGCTGGCCTTGCTCTTTCCCACTCACTGAGGGCTTTTCCAGCCCTTTCACTGAATCTCTGAACGCACAACGGGTTTGCCTGGGGCTTAGGAATCTGCAGTGGTTTTGCTGTGCTCTCAGTCCCTCTGATGAATGTTTTATTTGTTATAAGTGCAGCCTATGTAACAAAAAGAGAAGCTTGAGGTAGGCAGGATTAATAGGTTTTTTTAATATCCTTTTTTTTTTTTAACCCTCTCCCCCCCACCAAAAAAAAGTGCACATCACACCCACACACACCCTCCCTCCTTCCACCTTCTCCCCTAGTGCTATTTTAGGCTATTCCTAAGCCTGATTTGGAATTTCAAAAGTCATTCAAGCTCTCAGGTTTCATAGTGTGTCTGCTGTCTTCTCTTGCCAGGAGGAAGGCAAGTTCAGGTGATGCATGTAGGGGATACTGCTTAACGGTCCTCAAGTCCCATCTTTTTGACTTAGTTGTCTGAAAATCTCTTTCAAACTTTGCCTCAGTTTGATCTATTCCCCAACCCAAAGCCCCGCCTTGTGTCTAGTTTTATGATGAAGTGAATTAGCTCATTTCCTTTCTGAACCTCCCATAGGTGGAAAGCCTAGTGGTTTCCTAAATTATATCCTTTTGATTTCTTATTTTCTGTAGTTTATCTGCCACTAGACGTCTTCTAATCAAAGTGATTCATCTGCTTTTGGGTAAAAGGAGAGATGGGAAAATTATTTTTGTTCCCTCCTCTGTGTTTTATCTGAGCACAACCAAATTGTCTAAGATCTGAATCTGAGGACACTGACTTTGGTCTCAAGGAAACTTATGGCAAGCTGCAAGCTTTTGAGCTTGTTGCCTTAAATATTTTTGTTTGTTTGTTTTGTTCAGCTTATCAGCTGCCCTTCTAAACTAGTCAGCGGTGCATATGTATAGCACCGGTCTGCCCGATGTTTTCTACTGATAGAGAGCTTACAGCCTGCCAGCATTAATTTTGCCCATAGGTGGGAGCTCATAGGTAGTCTGCTGCTGTCACGGAATATGGGTGGGAACCAAGGCAGAGCACAACCCCTCCATTTGTTCCTCCAGTCAACAAGCTTTATCTAGTTACGTGTCTGTCAGGGGGAATGGGATGTAGCGTTGTCCCACTTTGGAAATGGGGATAATTAGGGTGCTCCCACTTTTAGTCATGCTCTGTTAATGAAATACGTCAAGCAAATGCTGTCCTCGCGGAAGGGCCTCCTCGCTCAGGGAGTTTCCCTTGTCCCTCCCTCACATGGCCTCGACAGGGCCGGGGCTGTGAGTGCGGCTCGCCCGGGTGTGCGGCTCCCTGGATGTGCGACCCGTCAGGTGTGCAGCTCGCCGGCTGTTCGGCCTGCTGGGTGTGCAGCTCGCCCGGGTGTATGGCCTGCTGGGTGTGCAGTTCCCTGGGTGTGCAGCTCGCTGACTGTGCGGCCCGCTCAGGTGTGCGGCCTGCTGGGTGCACGGCTCGCCCGGGTGTATGGCCTGCCGGGTGTGCAGTGGCAGTTCTGCTCCTGCTGCGCTAGGTGGACCCCTTGCTCCTCGGTACCTAGTGCGGGGAGCGGGAAGACACTTAGACTTGGGTCTGCAGTGAGGTGTGATGTGCTCCTTAGGAGATCCAGGCAAGAGCAGAAGTCCCCTGTTTAGGTGGCAGGCAGGAGCCAACTCCACCTGGCATCACTGCACTGTGGTTCTCTTTAGATTGGAGAAACTGCGTGGAGCTGGAGAAGCTCCAGCTATACAAGGTGCTGTTCTTTGCCTTGCAGTCCTGCCGCCTGTGAGCAGGTGTTAGAATCTCCCGGCCAAAGCAACTAGTCTTACAGTTCCCCGTAGAGAACAGATGCCAAGGGCTGTCTGCCAGCCTCCAGAACCCTCCTGGCACCTTTATTTTAAGGCAGTTCCTCAGACACTGGAAATTTCAGTCCATGTCTAGAAAGCCAGGAAAGAGGAGTTTGCTTTAGCAGAATGGAGTGAAGAGTACCTTAGTGATTTTTTTTATAGTTAAGAGGCTAAATTCTGACTGTTACGGAAGGAAGAGAAAACATCAGGGTCTGTGCACTGGCCAGCCTTAGGGGATAAAGATGGTACCAACTTGCAGGCTGTGGAGCAAGGCTGGTGGTGTGAAGAAAAAGGTGTAGAGGATTATGCTGGGGGTTCAGTCTGTTTGGGCTGTGAGGGACGGCTGAGGCACATCTGTGGGATGCCTACAGCATGGGGACAGGCCAGAGCCCTCATGCTGGGAGCACAGCAGGAGTGCAGAGCAATACAAAGCCTTTGCTTTGTTGCAGCTGAGAAACTGCAGTGGAAAATCTTTCTCTGCTCCCACATGAAGAAGGAGGATTCTCTCAGTTCACCCACCTGACAAGGAATGAATGATCAAGAAAGATATTTATGGAAACCTATGTTAGGATAAAACTTCAGCAGAGAAGGGCACAATAATGAATGTCACTAGCAGGCATGTAGGGGAGGATGGAATAGAAATCCTTACTCTGGTCAGGGCTTGTGGGAGCTCTGCAAGGACTTGTTAGCAGAGGGCTGGCACATCTCAAACTGTGGCACTGATTCTGTTCCTGAAAATTGCTCTCTCCTCTAATCTGTCTAGGGTGGGTAACCTTTCCCTCTTCTAGCCTTCAAGTCAGGCAGTGTTAGAAAAATGGCTGATTTTGCTGTCATGTCTCTTTTCTCATAGTTTAGGGATGTGCATGAAAAGACTCACCTCAGTGGACTTGTGCGTAGCATTTCTTGCTGCAAATAGCTTATGACAGGGCTGAACTTAGGAGGCTGTTATGGGGGCGACTGATCTGACCCCAAGATAAGTCCCATAACTAGGATCAGTCTTTGTCCTTGTGATATTCAACATCTGTACAGACCTGTTGGTTAAGTTAAGGAGACAGCTGGGAGGTGAGTAGAACTCACCCAGATGGGCTTCTCCTTACCCAGTTCAGTGGTATAATTTCCTGCTTTCCTAGGAGTTGCCTGAATTCAGCACTTGGAGGAGGAATGAGTCATTGAATGGTGGAAGAAGTGATAATAGAAAAGCAGAAGTGCATAAAAGATTTCTCTCATCCATGTCCTGCACCCTAAAAGCGACTGTTTTCACATCAAGACTGTCTTTAACCTTGGAGCACTTTGAACATGCCCTGGCAGCTTGAAGTACAAAACGGAGTGGTATAAAACCTTCTAAATGATTCACACCCTTAGCGAGCACTGGCCAAGGGAATTTATTGAATTCAGACATGCTGAGCCAAGCAGACTGTATTTACAGAATGAGTTACTACAACACTCACTTGAGAATGGAGCTGCCAGCTCTAGGTTGCCTCCACCAGCAAATGCGACAGTCCTGTTCCTCAGCGGAAGGTGTGCTTGGAGATGCTTGATTTTAATGCTCCATTCTCTTCTCTTGTTCTTTCACACATACCAGCAGATGCTCCTGCTCACTGTTCACCATCTCCCCTGGAAAAGGCCATAGCTTCTTGAGAGATGGTTAGCAGAGAAAGGGATAACCACACATGATACTTTGTTAGATATGGTTGTCAGGTAGCATAGAGAGAACCATGATTCAAGGAGAGAGATCCTGGCAAGAGCAAACTGCATCCACTTTTATTAGATCAAACTATTCCACCCGTGTTTATTTTTCCCCTATATATTTTTTTTAATTTAAGGAAGAATCGTTGACCTAAGCACCACCAGGAAGTAGGTATGGGACCATGGGTCCAATGTGTCTATTCTGGGGAAAACGTTTGCCCTGTGTGGTTCCCAGGTTTAGCCAAAGCAAGTGGCTTTCATCTGCGCAGGTGTCTGCCCGGGAAGCAGCTCACAGTGGATCGTGACCTTGAGGTGACCTTGGCATACGGCCATGGCCAGATGTGCCATGGCAAGGCAGCGGAAGCTAGGTGAGACAGGCCACTCTTCCCCACTTTGTGGAGGGCGATTTTGGTGCTTTCTGCCTCTCGCCTTCGGATCACTTGTATGGATCTTAATATTTCCTGCTTGAGCAATAAGAGTTTATGGCCCTAGTCTTTGTGGCTGATTAGAGCCCAAGTTTGTGCCCCTGTTTTAATCAGTACTCATTTACCTTTGGCATCCTTCAGAAGAGCAGAATGGTATGTCTTTCAGTTACCATGGAAACAGTGAGACTAAATGCACATTTCCATGGCAACCTGCCATTATCTCCAGCTCTATCTGTGGGTCTCATTTTCTGACCATGGGGGTGGGGTGGTGAAAATGGAATTTCATTTCATTTTTCAAAAAAGCACCACTATCACCACCCTAAAGCCCCTTTCCTCTTCTACCTCAGGCTTGGGACCAAGAAAGGTGTTTGCTGAGACGGGCCTGTTACTACTGCCACTGTCCCGCGCTCAGGGGCTCTCAGGCATTGTCTTCAGCTCCCTTCTCTCCTTCACCCTTCTGCTAAAAATAGAGATGCTCAGAACAATTTGATGACAATGTTCCAACGCTTCTCAGAGCTCTTTGTTTCCTGAACTAATGCTCCCAGAAA